CAGTTACAGCAGCTATAGTACCGCAATTGCCACACCAATCAGGCACTCGCAGAATACTTTGGGTGAGGTGAAGACTGAGAGTATAGACTTGAGTGGGAATACGACAAAATGATGATCATCAGAACTGGAGAGTAGGCAATAGGCAACTGCTCAGCTGTAATACCCCTTCGGTGTCTAGCTGCCATGGCACCCGAAAGAACGAGAGCTGGGACACTGCCAAGTTGTCCAAGCCTAGACCGAGGAGGTCGAGAGGCAGACATCGGGTTCGAACCACGGACCTTGTGGTCAGCAAATTCGCGCCCTAGCCAATGAGCCATCACGCCCACAAACCGGAGAGAACAGCACATGAAGATAACTCAGGAAATTCCAGTTGAAAAGTGTTAACGGACAGGGATATGGTCTGGTTCGGAGATTATGGAAGATCATTCAGGAGGAACGACCATCTCGAACAAAGAAGAACGCTTATACCGGTGGGCCGAATACTTCGAATAACAACTGTCCTGGCCACCAGCCGGCACTCATCTACAGCCCACAGATGAAGCAGAACCCTGGACGGTGAACGTGAAACCACCTGCGGCCCCGGAGGTTTACGGCTGCATATGTCCTCTCAAGCGCCACCGAGCTCCCGGTCCGGATGATCTCCCACCCGCATTGTTCAAAGACGGGGACGAAGTCCTCAGTCAGCGCTTGTCCGATCTGTTTGCTTGCATCTGGGAAAAGGAGTCTGTCCCAGACAACTGGGAAGCATCAGCGATAGTGCCCGTTTTCCAAAAGGGGCGCGTAGTGAGTGTGGTAACCACGGGGGGATCAGCTTGACCCCGGTCGTAACGAGACTGATGGCGTCAATTGTGCTTCGTCGCCTTACGGTGGCTCGTGAGATACTGACTCGAGAGCACTAAACGGGACTCCGGCCTGGTAGGGGTTGCGTTGACCAAATCTTCACACTCCGTCAGGTGCTGGAACAAAGTCATACGTATAAACGACCCACAATTCTAGTATTCCTGATTGTACGGGGTGTCGTAGAACCTGTAGGCGGAGAAGGCGCAAGTATTCTTGGACGAACTGACCAAAATCATCCCGTGCTTTGGTATGTACTTTGCACCTACAAAGTGTAAGGTCATGCTCGTGGACATGAAGTCACTGAACACACCACGTACAATCCAGGGAGAGGTACGGCAAGTTGTGGAGCGTTTTACCTATCTTGGAAGTTGTATTAGTTCTGATTGTCGTGTGACAGATGAGGTGAATGCACGAATCTGCAAGGTCAGGGTCTCGTTCGCTAATTTGAGACACCTATGGCTTAGCCCTGAATCTCAAGGAACGTGTGTATCAAGCTAAAGTGCGGGCTGTTTTTTGTATGGATGTGAGACTTGGCCTATTCGGGGAGAGGAACTGAGATGTCTTCAGGTGTTCGACAATCGTTGCCTCAGAACCATGGCTCCTGTGTGTTGGCCTGTTCTTCTTGAGACGCTTGCCCACCAAGGAATGCCCCGGAAGTTTGTAAACATAATACGTTCTTTGTATTCTCAGACTTCCGGACGTGTAAGAGTGTACAGAGAGCTCTCCAAAAGTTTCCGTACACAAAGTGGTGTTCGTCAGGGATGCCCACTCTCTCCATTCCTTTTTAACTTTGTGATCGATGAAATAATGAGACGAAAGCTAGAGGGTCTCCAGAACCCTGGTGTTCAAATAGCCTGTGAAGAAAATTGTCGATCTGGAATATGCAGACGACATCGTTCTCATGTTCGAAGAGACGGAGAAGGCGCAAATATTCTTGGATGAACTGACCAAAGTCATCCCGTACTTTGGTGTGCAATTTGCACCCACAAAGTGTAAGGTCATGCTTGTGGACGTGTAGTCACTGAGCACGCCTCTTACAATCCAGGGAGAGGTACTGGAAGTTGTGGAGCGTTTTACGTACCTTGGAAGTTGTATTAGTTCTGATTGCAGTGTGACAGATGAGGT